GACCGAGAGGGTGGGAGAGGAAGAGGAGGATGACCAACTAACCAAAAGGAAGAGAACGGGTCAAGAGAGAGAGAGAGAGAGAGAGAGAGAGAGGAGGAAGAAGGAGGAGGAGATAAAGGAGGAGATGATGATTATTTATGAAGAAAAGAAAAGAAAAGAAAAAGTTTCGACAAACTAATAGTTCTAAAGTACTTCGAGTACTACAGTAGCTTAGAACTGTTACTTTTATAATAATTATGATGATGGAGGGAATTGTGTCAATGGTCGTCATGTGTGACCGAAACTTGTGACCGGTCAAACATAATCAGTCAATCGTCAGTCGGTCAGTTAGTTTATCAATTTAGAGGAATAACAAAAATTGACCAACATAAAAATAAGAGTTTACTTTAATTTCATCAATCACTTTATCTTCATATAAATATTGACCTTGTTGTTGATGATGATAAATAGAAATGAACAAAATGGAAACATTGACTTATCAGTTTATCACGAGTTGGAGATAATCATGATGATGGAGATGAGTCTCATACTCTTCACCATCATAGGTGATACATGATAAGTTAACCTACGAAATCGTGAAGAAAAAGCAACAACTGAAGATGAAAAAAAGTCTTCACTCGATGATGATGAAGATCCTCAGCTCACTCATCATCTTCATCTCCCTTAGTAGCTGTAAAAACGATGAAGATGAAGCAAAAAAAATTGTGTTGACTCGATTACAATCCAACCAAACCTGTAATCAACATTTTCACCTTTCTCAGCTTCTTTACATCATCACACTCATCATCATCATCATCATCCGCATCTTCAGCCTCTTCATCCTAGTAATGCACATACACAAAGTTTTCTTCAGGTAAACTTGATTTTTTTTTCTTCTTTTAAATTTTGCAACTTTTGCTCTGAAAGAGAAAAACTTTTTGCAACTTTTTTTCTTTAGCAAAAGTCTTGACTTTTTTTCTGGGTAACTTTTTTACTCCATTTTTTGCAAAGGTAAAAAAATCCTACATTTTTTGCTACTTTTCTTGCAGAGAGAGAGAGAGAGAGAGAGAGAGAGAGAGAGAGAGAGAGAGAGTCACAGCCCAGGTAAGGGTGAAAATAAGCACAACTACACTTCTCATCCTCATCTTCATCTTCATCGTTTTTTGCTGCTGTCACAAGAAAGAAGTCAAAGAATGATGAAAACGAAGATGATCAAGGATGATAACTCCCTCTTAATTTCTTTATCTTCCCTCATCCCTTTTGTTGTTTATACCCTTTAATTTAACACTCTCTTGACTCTCTCTCTCTCTCTCTCACTCAGTCATCCCACCAACACCCTCTCTCCAATGTCACCCTCTACTAAACTCTGTAACTGTCACCCACTCGACTCTCCTTTCCTCTCCCACTCCCCATGACTTGTGTCCCTTTCCATTATCATCTTCATCCTTATGAATATAATAATAACAAACTAACCCAATTGTTTCCCTATTATTGTAAATATTTTTTTAATCATCTTTGTAATCACTACAATCAAAATTAAATTAAATTAAGATGAAACCATCTTATTGTAACATTGATTAAATTTTCATTATTATAACAAACATTAATATGATCTTATCAACATCATCATTTTAATTATAAAACCATATCATTTGATAAGATCACCAAGATAAATTAATTTTCCTGTTGATTACTGGTCTATAATTAGTTGATTGAAAATTTTCAATTCTAAATTACAAATAAAACAAAAATAATAACAATATTTATCAGTTTGTTTCCTTGTATTGATGAAAATAAATATATATTGGAAAAGGAAGTTGCAAATTTAGCTAAATAATTATGATGATAATTGAGTCTAATAAATCACAATTCACAACAATTAAGGGGATAAATTATGTGTACCCAGTGAAGAGAGTCAAAAAATTGAGTGATTTGAATTGTTGTTCAATGAAAATTAAAGGAGAAACAGCAAAAAAAAAATTAACTACAACAATTAAAAAAACGAGTAGCCATTGATGATGATGAACATGATGGTTACACCTGAGAACCGTGATTGGTTAATTACTTGAAGCTATTAAAATGATCATCAAGATTATGATGATGAAGATGAAGATGGAGATGAAGATGATAACAATGTATGTGTATAAATTTAACGTGATTTAAAAAAAAATTGAAATGAAAAATTCATTGTTATCGGTAACCATGAAAATCACCGAGAAACAATTGACTTTTCAATCTCATGAATCCATGATCCAGACTAACAATTGAACGAGATGAAAACCAATCAAAAGGTGTGAGTAAACTTAATTATTACATGATAATCAGGTAGACAATCAAGATAAGAATACGTATCAAAATCAACAGATTAAGTGGTAAGGTGTTAACAATTTGTTAATCATATTAGCTTATCAATTATCTTCACTATATATTAACTTAATCTTTATCATCTTTTAATCATTCATGGTATTTGTTATGATACTAATCAATATGATCTATTTACTCTCTCTCTTTCTCACTCTGATTACAATTAATTTGGATACAAAAAGGGCTTGACATTGGGATCATTGAGCTATTAATATATATATTATCATCTTGTGGACATTATTATCATCCTTATCATCCTGAAAATTGCCTCAAACTATGATAATATCATGATGATTATAAATGATATGTAATGTTATTTACTTTTTGTTGGTTGTTTGGTTGTTGTTGTTGTTGTTTTAACTTCACCTCCCCACTCACTCACTCACTCCCAAGGCCAAGAAACTATTTCATTATTATCATTATAATAATAAATAATCATAATAATAAATAATAATAACTTATTATGAGAGTTCGCGGTAAACCAAGACATGAAACCCGCTTACACCAAAAACCCGCCTTCCAGAAAGCAAAGTCTAAGGTTGAAACAAAAGCATCTTAAGATGATGATGATGATGATGATGTAGAAGAAGATGAAGAAAAAAAACTTTGAAATATTGTTCAGATGAAGATCAAAATGATGAAGATAAATTTCTATCTCTCTCTCTCTTTACCTGTGTGTTCATCTTCATCTCCACCTCATCCGAATGTGTATCTCAGCGCTTAGATTTTATTTTTTCTTTATTATTTTTTTCCTGTAACTCCTATCGCCTGAGGGTAGATTTTATTGGAAGAAAAAACCAGAAAAAAGTTACATTTGCTTGTTTTCTGTTGTATATTTGCGTTATATTTGTATCTCTCTCTCTCTCTCTTTCTCTCTCATCATCATCAGTAAATGGTCAAGAAAATGAAACTCAGGTAAGTTGTTTTCTTGTATTCGGGTTACATGTTTACCCTTGATAATCAACATTGGTTAATGTTTGGTTTCCTTTTCCAGTTATTGTTCAATTGATTTTCTAAAACATGGATTAACGATCTATAATCTAAGGTCTTAATCCAAATCCTTCAAGGTAATAGATGATAAAGAAGAGAAAATATATTTTGTATCGATCTAATTTCCGTTTCGTCTTAGACATTCTTCGAGTTCTAATCTCGCCCAGTTTCTTCTATTCTATTCTATTTCATTTCATTCTATTCTTTTCTTACCTTAACTACCTTATTCTTTTTCTTTTTCTTCTTCTCATCATCATCATCATCATCTTCTTCTTCTTCTTCTTCAGAAAATGATAAACTCTACCGAAAGTAAATTAGAAAAAAACAAAATGGATGAGCTGAAGATGATGATGAAGAATAGACTCTCACCAATGGATATCGAGTCTATTCACGCGTCTAAACATCATCAAAGGTAAAAAATAACAGCAAAAGCATCTAAAAGATGAGCATCCTCATCATCATCATCTTTATCATCATTATCAGCAGGAGACGATGTTGCTTTGCAACAAATGACCTGAGGCATTGGTCTTGAAAGCCAATGTTTCATTTCCAATGGAGTTACTGTTGCTATTTTTTTCATCATCTCTCTTAGATTTTGACTTATCCTTTTCTTTATCATCCTCCTCATCAAACATCATCATCATCATCATCATCATCATCAACACAACCTAAGAATCTAAGTTAATCAAGTGAAAAGAAACAACAACAACAAACGATAGACAGGAAACAAGATTAACAGACAACAATCAACTTACATCTTTAAATTGTTGTTGCCTTTTCGAGCTCATTGTTACTTTTTTCTTGTTGTTATTCAGTTAATCATTTATCAACGTCTCTCACTCTCTCACTCACTCTCCGAGTTAATGATAATTGTACCAATAATTTATTACTAATTGCATACATTACAATGATAAATGCTTTTCAATCTCATCATCATCATCATCCTCATCATTTTAAAGGTTAAACCTTTTTTCTAGTAAAAAAAAAACAAAATTAAAGAAGCAAAATTTTCCACCTCCAATATTCAGGTAACGTTAATCTCAGTTGATTACAATTAAACAATCAACGAGCAGTTTTCCCGCTAAATTGTTTCAATTGACATAAGTTCAAATTGAATCACTATTGATGATGAAGACGAGAAAATAATTCCCGTTATGAAGAAATTGCTATTGTTACAGATCAGTTGTTCTGTTTACTCAATTGTTTGTACTGTCCAGTGGTCAGTTTGAGTATTTTTTCCCCTTCAGAGGGAGGATGATGATCATCATAGTGATCAATGAAAGACTTTATCATCCTCCTTCTTATCATCTTCAATCTCATACTCTGATGATAACTTTATCATTATCATCACCTATTATTATGAAAGAAACTTTTTTTTTCATCTTCACATTTTAACAACAAAAATCTTAATGTTGATAATCAATGAGACTTGATATTAGGTCGGTAAAAAAAATGTTTGATTACATATTAAGATGATGATGATTATTATTATGATGATGATGATAATGGTATAAAGAAAAGTGATTATTTACCTGGATTGATTTCAATTGATTTTCTCATGTATTTGTAGGTATGAAAACTCACATGAAGATGAGAAAATCAAAGTTTTTTTTTGGAAAACTAACTTGAACGAAAAGTATTAGAAAAATGGTAAACGTTAATCTTACCTCGATTTTGACGACTTATTGCAAGGTAATCCCGTTTACAGAGAAGTCGATAATCGTCCAGAATGTACAGTTCATCACCGGTGGACAATTCTTTGTGACAATCAACACAGGTAAAACACCGGACATGATAAACTTTACTCAAAGCCCAACGGACATAATCCTCAGGTGATATTCCATGTGAACATCCAGCACATTTTTTACCAAATCGCCTAAGGGAGATTTAAAAGAACACAGAAAAGAGAGAGAGATTAACATGATGAAGATGACGAGGATAAAGATGATAATGATGATAAAGATAAAGGTGTCATCATAGAGATATCCAGATGATGGTGATAATGACGATGAGGAGTATGATGATGATGATGATGATGATGATGATGGACAAAACTTTACGAAAAAACTTTTTCAAAACAATCAACATGAAAAACTTACTTGAAAAAATCTTGTTTACAAAATAATTTGTCATCACGAGAAAAACATTTACCAGACAATTCAGCCTTACAATCAAAACAGGTGACACAGCGGGTGTGCCAAGCACGGTCAAGTATTTTGTCCAGGTAACGGTCTGTGATGGGTTTACCACAACCTGCACAAGAAACCATCTTCATGATGTCAATGGTAAAAGGACTGCAGACTCAATGAGTAGTTGATCAACATTGAGAGTAGATTGTGATTCAACTACGAATGCGTGAAAATTTTGGTTCACGCCTGTACTTTTTTCCATACAACCAATCAGACTGGTTAGTTTGTATTGGAAGGTGGAGTTTATCCAGTTTTACATCATCATTTTCATCTTCATCTTCATCTAACAACAACAACAACAACAACAACAATAACAAAACGATCATGATGATATTCAGTTGAATACAATTGAATTTACCTGAGAAATGGTCAACATGTTAAAGCTGAACAAAAATCGAGAGTAAACTTTTCTTGTTTTACGAAAAAAAGTTTCAATCGGTTGGAACTTTTGTTTTTTTTTCTCTCTTCTTATTATTATTCTAATATCATCATGATGGATTCTCTATTTTTCTCTCTTCACCATTCTGAGGTTACATGGTGAAATTAGAGAGTGGTTTTGGTTGTGGTGGAGGAGGAGAAAGGTTGAGGTGGGAGTTTATTGGTAAGTCGATATGTATGATAACCGGAAAAGTGAATAAATTGGTTTGGACTGAAAAGGTTGACTCTTCCTGTTGATTGAATGGATTCACTATCATATTCAATAAAAATATATAATTATAATCATGAGGATGATAACAACATGATGATATGACCTGTGTATGTGTGTATCTTATTTCAAGAACCATGATAATCATCAAAAATAACAGTAATAGTATCACAAGTTACAACATGAGTATGATGATGATGATGAGGATGATTGAACTCATCTTAAATGTTTACCTAGCAAAAATTGTTAAGATAAAGAGTGTACATAAAAAGGACAATGAGATGATATTTGATGATGATGATTAAACTTCATCCATATAATCATCCTCATCATCATGTCGATGATGACCAAGAAACGGTACGATTGATGTTATTGGAAAAATTTCCGAGCTCAAACCAATGATTATATTAAACAAGCGAGTTAAACAAACTCTCATCATGATGAAGATGATAAATATCAAGTATTATCTTCCTTGTATCATCATCATCATCCTTCTCTCTCTCTCTCTCTCTTTCATAAGGATATTTCATCTCATCTGTTTAACAGGAAACTCGATATTATATGAAACTTTTTTGTTCTATTCGATTTCCTATTAAATGTCTAAATTGTTATTAGTTTATAACTTGACAACGAAACTTCAGATCACGTGTGGATTTCTGTTTCCTCCTCCATCCACCCTGATGATAATTCAGATTCTGATGAATCCATGAAGCAAACTTTTCAATCATCATCATTTTCTTGTTGTACTGAATCAACTCAACTATCAATACAATGTACTCACATTCATATAACAATAATTATTATTATTGTGAGTAATTCAATATTTTCAACCGATCAATTTTATCAGAATGAAATTTTTACAATTTTATTTCATCATCATCATGATCGTTTTCATGGTAACCGATATATATATAAGTTGTCATCATGATAAACTTTCATTATTTTTTTGTTTTCTGTTCAACTTTTATCAAGGAAATGTCATGAAAGTATGTTTTTTGTTTGTCCATCTCTCAATTCATGCTATCTGAATATGAATGAAGTTCAAGACAAAGTTCAGGATGAACAACAGAATAATATTCAGTGTGTCTCTCCTGTGTGTGTATTTATATAAATGTATAGGAAGGTTGAATAGGAGGTTTGTCAAGATGATGAAAATGATGAGGATGATAAAAAAGGGCGAGGTGGAAAAGTAGAGTGTCTTTGGCACTTTTCATTTCCAGGTAAATATCCCAATTCATTTTTCCTCCTATTCACCTAACCTCATCTTCATCTTCATCATCATCTTCATATATATATCTCTCTCTCTTTCTTTTTTTCCTTCTTTCTCTCTCATCTTCATCTTCATCGACCACTTTCACTTTCATCAACTAGAAAATACATTTATACAAACTTCATCTTCTTTTATCATCATCTTCATCTTTCTTTTGATTCTCTCTTTTTTTTGGAAGACTTTGTTTTTCATCATTTCGATTCCAACTGAGGGATGAAGATGATGATAAAAAGATGAAAACATCTTCTACAAACAGAACTCTTTCTTTCTATTCTGGTTTAACTTTATCTTCTTTTTCTTTTCATCTTCATGATATATTTTTTTTCTTCTCTTTTTTACTTTTTCTTTCCATTTTCTGTATTGTTCTGTGGAGAGATTTCTTGATCCTCATCCTTCATCCACCTTTTTCCCACTGAATCTTTTTTTCCATCTCTAACTCGACCTACACTTCCTCCTCCTCCTCATCATCATCATCATCATCATCTTCTTCTTCTTCTTCTTCTTTTCTACTTCAAGATTGTCTCAAGTTTCTATTTCTATCAAAAGGAGGAAAAAAATTTTCGAAAAAAAAAGAGGAAGAAGATAAAGACGATCGAAAGATGAGCATGATAGTACAAAGGAAAAGGAAATTCAGTATAGTTGATACTCATCTTTTTCTAGAATTTATCATGAAAAAAAGGGAAGATGAGTGTGGGTGGAGAAGGAACGAAAAAGTAGAACAAAAAACAAAATCTCTTACCAACTGAGATCGTTTTTCAGAGCAAAAAACGAAGGAAAATTTTCTTAGAAGCAAAAAGATGATAGAGATGATAAAACAATAGAATAAGTTATCATGCTCATTCTCTTCCATTTTATCATCATCAATATTATCCACCGAAACAGGATAAGGAAATAGCAAGAGGAGTGAGAGAGAGAGAGAGAGAGAGAGAGATCTGTCATCTCATAATATGAACTTGGAGGTAGCTTAAAGGTGAAACTTAATTCTGAAGAGTGAAAGTGAAGAGACTGGTGATTATAAAGATGATGATAGAAGAAGATAAAAAGATGAAGCTATTCCAATTTTATCCGTATCTTCATCAGTCTTGGGAGTTATCGTTAACAGGGAATCTTCATCTTCATCAAAAACAAAGACAATAATAACTGTAAGAAAGTGAATTTAATGTTAGTCTTATAGATACTTTCTCATTGAGAAAGAAGAAAAAAAAATTCCACCAGAGAGATAACACTTTTCTCTCTCTCTCTCTCATTCTCAATCCTCGGTTACGTTACTTCATCCACATCTCTTCATCTCATATTGAAGTGAGAGAGATAAAGTGAAAAGAAGAAGAAGGATGATGAAGATAAGGATGAGTGAAAGAAGAGGAAGAAGATATTCGCGCTCAGGGAAATCCAAGAAAATCCTTTTGTTTGTCTCCTCAAGGGATATATCACAGATCTCTCAATCTGATTCATACACAGGAAAGAAAAAAAGATGAGGATAAAGTGAAAGAGAGAGAGAGAAAGATGGATTCAAGAAGAAGATAAAGATGACAAAGAGAGAGAGAGAGAGAGAGTCCGCTCTCGGATTCGAACTCACCTACAAAACGATCTTCCCCTGAGGATTTAGATTTTCAATATTTACAGTAGACTTTATTTTCCTCCTCTCTACTCCCACTCCAACTCTCTCAGATTCTGCATCATCTTTTTTACCACCTTTACTTTATCATCCTCTTCATGTTGTTGTTGTTATGATTTCCATCATTCCATAGTATTGTTTGTCTATTTACGATGTTGTAAAATCCAGAATGAAGATGAGGATGGAGAAGGAAAAAAAAAGGTTCGAATCTTTCAGAATATCGAAAAGTTATCCAACCATTAATTTCTTTATCCTTTTTTTCATCTTCATAAGATGATGATGATGTTGATACTCATTTTTTTTTCTTTTCATCTCTTTCTCCTAAACTTACCTTTACTTCACGTTAATCTCTAATCAGTTTCCTTTAACATTTAAAAAAAAAACTTCGACTGATCATCATCATGATAATATCGTCATGGTTACTTGACATTGTGAATATTTAATCTCACCATTTATCCTTATCATCATCATCATGAACCATCATCACTGTCAAGAAATGAAATCAGTAAATCATGTTGGTGATCAATGAACATGATTTATAATCATTCATGAAAATAATGATCAACATCATCATCAGATCGTCAGGTTGTATACACATGATGACAAGCGACAACTCTCATCGTCCTTTAACCTTCCCCGCCAAGTGAATGGTACTGAAAGAAATCTCGTTCTGATCTGATTAATTCTAATCATCGAATAGTTTGATAGAAAAAAATTCGAAGAAAAAAGTACAATTCGAACTTTAAAATCAAACTTTTCGATTACAATTCTATGTGATAAACTTTCGGTAAACTTTAAGGTCACAAAATAATCGTTAGAACCTAAAAGTTGATCGACCTGAGTGACTTACGATCAACAAACAATTACCAAGAACATGGAAACAATTTAATGAAGACATTGATTAATTGCTAAGAATAAGAACTGAACATTCAACTAATCATTTCAACGACTAATTAACTAATCAAAACTTGAAATGAAAAACAATCAAATGAATTAAATGAAAGGCAATTTTCAAACGAAATGACCATAAACTTGACCAACGTAAATATCGAGTTAATTATTCATTCAAAACTATTGCTTGTACACTTGACTAACAATTGATTAATCAAATTTAATCACATTGACAAGAACAGGAAAACCAAACAATTTACTTATCAAACAATTGCTATTGACCTTTTAACTATCATCATCATATGATTGAGCAAAAAGGCAACAGGAAAACTTGATAATCTTAAGTTTAGTTTTGAAGGAAAAAAGTTTTTTTTTCAAGAGATTAACCTTTGAGGGATTTTGATTATAACTATGTTATTGTTATCATCTTCATCTTTATCTTTATCTTCATCATTTTGATTATTGAGTAACACTATAATCGATATACCCACCCTATAGAGAGAGAAAGAGAGAGAGAGAGACACCACCTTTGTCGGCTTTTCATGGGTGATGAGGATAAAGATGAAGATGATGAAGAGGAAGAAAAAAATGAAGATAAAGAAATGGGGCAAAATCTTTTGTGTTGTTTTGGTGTTTGTATTATGATGATGGAGAAAAAAAGAGATGACGATGAGGGAGAAGTGGCCGCAGGGTCGGAAAAAAAGGTAAGGAGTCGTTGTTGTTGTTCAATAGTGAATGTTATTATTACTACTGAATGTAGTTGTTGGTGTAGTGGATCATCTTGTGGATTTTGGTTATTATTACTCTTCTTAACTCCTTGAGAGTCTTTTGCCAGGTATTAACATGTTAACAAAAGAGGGATTTGTATCTCTCTCTCTCTCTCTCTTTCTCTCGAAATGGACACTGTCCAATAGCCAATGTATCCATATTCTAGTATATTGATCTGGTTCGAATTGAGATTTTCCATTCTCTTTGCAAGAATAGTTTTTTCGTATCGAACATTTTTCTTTTTTTATATATTATCTTCTTTCTTTCCTTATTTTCCTCTTTTTTTCTTTTTAGCATCTTCAATCTTCTTCTTGATCATCCCTTCATCTCATCTCATCTTTGAGAGAGAAAGAAAGAGAGGCCTTGGTGGTGGAGAGAAAAAGTTATTTTTCACTTTGAGTTTTGGCCCCTTCTCTTTAAGACATATTCTGCTTTCTTACCTATACAATTTATTTTATCTTTTTTGCTTCTTTTTTTCATCATCTTGATCATAGTTTCTCTCTCTCTCTCTCTCTCTTAGATTTTAAGTAAGCAAAATACACGCAGGATTAATGTAAGTGAGAGTGTGTGTGTCTGTTGGTTGTTGTTCATCTTGCTGTGTATACACTTATCATCATCACCATCATCATCAATCGTTCGGTAATTCAACCACTTGATAAGTAACATTTATTATCAAGCTCCCTTTGCATCTTACTCACTATTTATCTCTTTCTGGTACAATGATTGAATGTATTCATTTTGGCCTTCATTCAGATTTGTTGTTGGTCTCAGTGAAATGAAAATATTGGTTAAAACACATTCATTATGTTTTGCTTTTTTTTTATCCAGTAGCAAAGGTTAAATGGAAACCCAATTTAATTGATGTAGTTGTTGTTGTTGTTTACAAGTTGATTTTTTTTTGACATACAAATAGGAGGGGATGAAGTTTTGATGTAAAAGATGAAGGAAAAAAAAAACGATAATGAACATTATTTTTTTTGTTTGTATTGATATTTTGCTTTATGATGATATTTTGGTTAGATTGTAGTAGTTTTGGATGATGATTGTGTTAGATGGTTTTCGATTCCATGATTATTTATTATTTCAACTTGATGACTCTTTTAATCCTTCGGATCATCACATCGACAAAGTTGTTGTCCTGTGTAAAAGAAAAATAATAATAATAATGAAATAAAATTAGAATAAGTAATAAAGTTATCAAAAGTTATCGTTGTTGTTATTTTTAGGAAACATTAACAACGATAAATAGAAGTTAAGGAAAATGGTTAATGATTAATGGTTAAAATTTGCTACTTACCTTGATTGAATTTTGAATTTTTGAGAAAAATAAATCACTAACTATTCCAGCTGATTCAGCTTTAAGTTTATTTACTTCTGCTCGTTGTTCTGAATTTACTTCCAACATGTTGAAATAAAGGTTAAGATGATGCCAGACTAAATAGAGACTCGCCTCGATCATTGGGATGAAATCTTTCGAGTTGGAACATTTTTCAACATTTTCATCAATAATGAGAACCAATGAACCGAGTGTTGGTGGATCAACATTGGCAAATGAAATACGATAATTCCAAGTTGGAGTTAAAATAGGGATCAGTTCTGCAAGGGAAAGGATAAGAGAGAGAAAAAAATCAATTAGAAAATGGATAAAGTTTTCATTTTCATAGGAAAGATGAAAATAACTTTCACAAGAATATCAAAGAAAACAAAAGTTCAGCGAAATTATTATTTACCATTTTGTGAACAAATTTTAACATAACCTATCAGGATGTTTGTAACTATTTTACTTTCATTTGTATCAATAACACCAAGGTAATTGTTTAATAGACACATGTAAGACCTTTGAAGTGGTTTACTGACATAATGGACTAATTTTGATAAAAGACCAGTAATCAAAGTTAATATAGTTAAACGTTCATTTGTATTTTTAATTTCGGATGCCATTCGGATGATATCACAAAGTACGGATCCTCGAATGGTGAAAAATTGGGAAAACTGTAAAATAAAAGATAAAAGAAAAGGATTAGAATAAGTTGATTAAATATTATCAATTTAACTTACATTTTCGTAAGATTGACGATCATTGGTGGTGCATAAAACTAACAATAATCTCAAAACGGAGACAAACATTTTGTAACATATGTCACTTTGGTTAAGGAGAACGGGGAACAGTTCAAAAGATGTAAATGAGGATAAAGTTTCAATAATTCCAGCGTGAGTGACAATACGAACACCAGTAGCATCGGTACAAATTTTCATCAACAGAGCCTAAAAGTAAAGAAGAAAACAAAGACAGTTAGTATTTTGAATGAGAATTAAAAAAGGGACTAATTTTGTCTTACCATTTTAGAATCAAATGCATAAAAAGCTTTACAATGAACGTCAAATTTTTGGCCTACGATTTCCTTGTCGTCGCCTTTTAAACTTTCCACAAGTAATTTCAAGGTTCCATCATTTGAAAGATCTCGAGCCCATGTTAGTTCACTTTCACTGAGAATAGACATGGCGAGAACTTTGGTAACCTCATGTCCGGATAAAACATCTTTACATAGTTTTTTCAATAATCGAGAACCAATTTTAAGGTCATACAGGAATGCTGAGGGAAGAAGACGATATAAATGTAATAAGGTAGCGTAAAAGTTAACTCGAGCTCTTTTATGTTGATTCCAAAGGGAATTGGAAGATGTTGATTCCATAAGAGACATGATTCCTCTGGCAACTCCTCCAATTTGATTGTTCATTGATGCTTCCGGTTTGACTGAAGTAAGTGAAGATGAAGAGAGAAGCATAACTGATGAAATGGGAGTTATCAGTGTGGCAACAGTGTCCGGAGAAATTGCTCTAGATAATAATTCTTGAAGTATTTCCATTAATATACGTGGTTTAACGGGTTGTGGATAAATGTCCAAACATTTAACCGAGATCACAGTTTCAGTCAGTTCTCTCCAACCTTCAAAGTAAAGGGTATTCGAGTTGAGTTGCTCTTGAGAACCATTTAAAGCCATGGCATATTGAAGAATCATTTGAATTTCATTTTGAATTAGATTAGTTTGAACAACTCCTAATTGTAAACCAACCATGTTCACTTCTGAAAGTAGCTTTTGGTGTAAAATTTTGACATCAATTACATTATCTGGTGGTGAGCTACATTCTGAGAAAGTTTTCCAAAGTTCATTGCAATCGAAAAACTCCCATTGAGACATTTCCGGATGTTGATGTTTAAAAACCATTTCTGGTGAAAAATCGATCAATTTTTTGTCTCCATTTTCACCGAGAATCTTTTTAATGTAACCATCTCGATTAGATTTTAAATTACTTTCAGCTGTGGTTTTAAGTTCAATGGCAAGTATCCTTAAGAACCAGGCAATCTCGGAAACATTTTCCATGGTTAACCATTTATTTTGTCGGATTGATCTTTGTTTTTGTAAAGTATCCAAAAATTGGTCGATAAGTTCATAACTTGTACGAAGGAAACGTAATACATTATCCGATATTTCCACATCATTACAGAGAGTATAAATTATTTCCATGCAAATTGCTCTCTTTTTGGGATTTTCATCTACATTGTCTATTAATCCAAGCATCGCATGAAGTGAATTAAATGTTTGCCCCAAAGAACCAGGAACACGAAGGTTACTTTTATTACGATCGAAACCCAATATTCTGTGAGAGAAACCATAGACCCCTGGTAAAGAGTCTCGTTTAACACAAGTCAAGATGAATTTTAAGCTTTCAATACACAATTCATCTTCTTCAGCCTCCAAACAGTCAACAAACCCATGGATGAAATAATCTTCATGATGTTCACTGAAAGGGCGTATTTGAAGTAACATACGCTCTGAGATTTGATGATCTGAACGGACTAGATTCTGAAGTAAACGAAGACTTTCAACTTGAACGGGAATCGATGGCAGTGAGATTACCTTGATTAAGGTGGCAAGTCTATCAATGTTTCCAGTTCGATGATTAACATTGGAAAATAGAGAGGCGAGAGTGAGAAGCATTGCCGATGGATACCCAGGAAGAGTGTGAATATTTCGGATGAAATCTGCTTCTTTCAAGGCAACAAGGTTTAATAACTTCAATCCATTGAGAATACATTGTTCATATAACTCGAAATTTTTGTGATCCGGTTCAACTCCTCCACCAGGTTCTGGACCGAACATGTAGACAATATCTTCAATCATTTCCATTATACAGGTGAAGAGAACATTTTCTTGAAGTAATTGCCACATTACTGAGAAAGCTGCTTTTAAACCGGGAACATCTTTAAGTGGATCAAATATTTCTAGTATGTCACATAAAATGTAAAGAGAGTCACGTTTAATTGTCCAATTTTCCTCTGGTATTTTGTAGAAACGATGGTTACATTTGAGAAGAATGGAATTTATAATAAATTCGGCACAGTCAAAGAGAGCAAATTGATGAGCGGGTTGACGATTGTAACGTATATGCTTAACCAGGGAATGAATTGCTGAAAGAAATGAAATGGTTATTGGATACTCTTCATTTCTTGGTTCAATGTCTTCAACTTCCAAAGCAATTCCACTTTGCCATGTAACTTGACGTCGAGAGTTAGCAAAAGTTGAGGTGGCTATTTGTGATTTAGGTAGAATAACGTCCATTTTAATCCATATTGTTAAAGCTACGGAAGCAGTTGTACTAGCGAATCCAGAGATACATGATAAAATGGCTGCTTTCAATTTTCTAGGAACAGGTCCCATCAGCAGACCAACCAAAGTTGGAATACATGAGTAACGTTGATTTTCAGCGACTGATACACAACAATTACGATCATTTTTACAATAGCACCCAAAAGATGAAGTATAGAGCATAATATATCCAAGTCAAGGGGCGAAAGGTTAACTGAACCAAAATTGGCCAAAATTCTAGCAGAAGATGAGCCAAAACTATTGTTAACGGAACCAATTTTGTCAGACCCAAGAACACTAGGTAATTGTGTAGAACGGCAAAAAATTGATCGAAAGAGAAAAGAGTTGTTTGGTTGAGACCAGGATGTTTAAGAAGATTATAAACATTAAATGGAGAAGTGGCAGCAAAAGAGGCTAACAAATTAAGAATTGGAACATGGAGAACTTGGGGTAGAGATGAATCAACCAAAGATCGAATAAATTTACGGAAAGCAATGTACTTTGGTAAGAGTCGGGATTCCTCATTACTTGAATTCCAAATTTCACTGGATAATCCAAAGTTATCATGAGAATAAACTTCAGCCATGAGGTATAACAATTTTTCTAAATTTCGAGATAAATATCGAGGAGGTTGTATGTTTTCAGCCATGTGAACAGCAATAATACGACCGCTTTCATCGCCTTTATCTCGTAACTCTTTAATTTTCAATGGGAACAAGGCAATAAAATCTGATAGAACCTCATGAAGCCAAACCAGGTAGAATCGATCCTTGTAAACATGAGGATTTTGAGCCAAAAGTCGAGTCATTGTTTCAAATACTTTCTTCTCAATGATATCATCATACATACTATCCTCTTCACCCTCTAGAACTGGCATACCGTCAGTGAGAAAGAGGGAAAGAGTTTTGTAAGCAATGAGAAGGGCAAACTTAATGATAACTTGAAGTCCTTCAACGGAAAATTTGGCAACTTCCAGATATTTGTGGATCTCGTCGAAAAGGGTTTTGTGTTTTGCAACCAAATTCTTAGAAATTGCTGGATCATTTTCATCATAAGTTCTCAACAATGAGGTATCCATTACATAAAGTAAAGACATGAGAAGAGTTGTTGCAATATAATCCAAACATCCATTTGAATCGAGTTCACATTTTTCCGAGATGATTCGGAGAAGAGATTTCAATTCATCTTGACTGAGAGTTGATTGAGCAGCAAAAGAGAAAACGATCTCGGCGTAAAGTTGTTTAATCTCCTTTATAATACTGTAAACTTGTTTCTTGTATTTTCCTGGTCCAAGAGCTTTGTTGATAAGAAGACAATCATATTCCGAACTGACATCAAATTTTTCTAAATTTTCAAGACATTTTTGAACAACATTGGCATCTTTCAATTGACCAACAAATGTTTCAATTAATTTGTTGGCATTTTCATTACATTCAGATAACCAAGTACGTCCAGAAATAGTGTCAACCAAAATTTTCAATGTGCTCAATAAAACTCGCTTTGAGTCGTAGTAAAGTAAAACAGCAATGGGTCCACGAGTCATACCAGGATATCTCGCCTCTTGATCTGTACCCATGATCAAAAGTTCAAGTGCAATGATCTCATTTAAATTGAACATATCAGATAAAAGGAGAGCTTCATTAACCACCTTCTCAGGAATAACCTGATTGGTTTTCTGTTCATTTTGAACGATGGTGATTCCATCTTTACAAGCTTTTTGGACGGCTTCTCGGTGAGCAGCATTTCGTGGCTTTAGATATAAAAGAGAGACAAAAAAGAAATAAGAATTTAAAATAAAAATCCATTTAAACAGTAGAAAGAATAAAAGAAAGGACAAAGACAAAGAGAAAATAAATATAATGAGATAATGTAAAGAAATAACTAAATATCAGTAGAATATCAGAAAGAAAAAGAGACGGCATGGTAAGAGAGAGATTAAAAATTTCCTCCAACAGAAAATGTGATAACTCACCTCATTGGCAAGTAATGAAACCAAATCTGGTTTATGATGTTGAAGTAATTGTTCCAAATCTTTTAAAAGATCACTAGATTGACATGTTCGAATTCGCGAAACAACAGCATTAAGACGCTTTAATGAACACCAATAGCTACTGGAATCTTTAAACAATAAGACAAAAAAAGAAACGCAATTTATATGAAAGAGAAAAAAATAAGTAACATTCACATTAAAGATTTTAAACAGAAAACACTAAAAAGAATCACTTACCAAGGTGGACATTAGTTTCCTCGGTGTTCCTCGAGGACATGGTCATCTAATTAATCGTTCAAACAATAGAAAAACACTCAACAATTAACCAAAAAAACGACAATCAAATATTAGAATTGAGAAAATAAACTCAATGAGTAACCGAAAAATTTTGTTTCCTAGCGGCGAATTGAGGGGTCGTATTCTCATTACGATCTTTCTTATTCTTTTTCCTGTTAAATAAATTGTGAGAATTTAATTTTTGTTAAATTAATTAAATTAATTGTATTCGAATTTAATAAGATGAAAATAATTTCAATAATATTTAATGGTTTGCTTGTTTTCCTCTTTATTTAAGAAAATACATGAAATGGTTAAAAAATGATGAGTTCATCTAAATGAGAAAATGATTTTCTCATTTTGGTTTTGTGATTAAAATGATTTTGAATAAATTGAATGAATTTTTGATTAAATTGCTTTTGGAGAAAAAAAAATTGTGACAAATTAAACAGTTTGTTTTGGAAGGGATAATAAAAGTTCCATAAGAAAATCACAAAGCCATGGGCATTTCTATCTTTGGATATGGTTTGTAATTGATTAGCTCGAAATCTTCAGCTTTGAAATCATCAATTGTTTCAACTTTTCTTTTAATTACCAATTTAGGAAATGGTCTTGGTTCTCTGGTTAGCTAAATTAGTTGAGAGAAAAGAAATGAAATTAGAATATTTGTAAATAATTTGGAAAAATAATCAATTGGTTTAGACAAATTCTCACCTGAACTTCAAGAGCATCAACATGATTTAAGTAAATATGAGCATCTCCAATTTGATGAATAAATTCACCGGGTTTCAGATTCGTAATATGAGCAACCATGTGAGTTAGAAGAGCGTAACTGGCAATGTTAAATGGAACACCAAGACCCTAGAGAAGAGAAAAAAATTTAAGAGGTTAAAGGTCATCATGAGTTTGGAATTAATGAGAATTTAATTTACCATATCTCCAGATCTTTGATCAAGTCGACAAGAAAGTTTACCATCAGCAACATAGAATTGAAATAGACAATGACATGGTGGTAGAGCCATTTTTGGAATATCTGGTGAATACAGAATAAGAAGAGAAATAAAAGATTAGATTATCATGCAATCAAGTAATAATTAGGAGAATTTATGTAAAGTAAACTCACCAGAAACATTCCATGAACAGACAATTAACCTTCGGTCGTTTGGATTAGTTTTAATTCTCTCAATAATTTGGGACAATTGGTCAATCCCTTTACCAGAATAATCGGTGTTTGTGTCAACATAATGAGCACCCCAGTGTCTCCATTGATGACCATAAACTGGACCTAAATCGCCTTCATCTCGATCGGTGAAACCAATAGAATCAAGAAATGTTCTTGAACCATTTGCATCCCAAATGTGAACACCTTTCTGGGCCAATTCTTTTGAATTAGTGTTCCCTTGAATAAACCAAAGTAATTCTTCAACAATTCCCTTCCAATAGACACGTTTAGTAGTTAAAAGTGGTAAATTGCCATCGGCAAGAGAGTAACGATTCTGTGTACCAAAGTAAGAAATGGTTCCAACGCCGGTTCGATCCTCTTTTTTTATCCCATTTTTTAAAATGAATTTAATTGTATCAAATAAGATTGTTCATCAGAATTCACTTCCTTTCCAGGAACATCCCCATCATTATATAACATGATTAACACCAAATCAAATCTAAGAAAACAAAAGTTAAAAAAAAATCAAACAAACAACAGAAACAGAAAACAAGACAATCAATTAAATGGTGAATTTGAAAATTTTTTTCTTTGTTGTTCTTTTAGTAACTTAGATTCTCAACAGATGGCAGCACTTTTTTACCAATTTCCCGCTTAACTTTTTCATCCTTTGTTTTTGGCTAATCATTACAATTAAGACAATTGCGATAACAATTAAGACTAAATAACTAGTTGAATATAATGTAGTTAATCTCCTTTTCTCATGGTTGGTATCTAAAGTGATCAGAATATGTTAATATGGAGACAAATCGAGAGTTCGTTCATTGGCTCGAACATTAAATTAACTTAGTAATTAAAAAGTTTCTTCGATGATTTAATTACTCTTTTTTTCCATTCGCTGATCAAATTGATAATAATTTCAATTGATTTCCCATGATTATCACAATTCCATTATAACTTAAATAATATTCACCTGATCGAATGAAACAATTTCCTTAGTTATAAAAATAAATATATTTCCAAATGGAAAACAATTAACTTCAATTGAAATGATTGTTAGACTTAAATTATTTTGATTTTTATCAAAAAAAAAGTTACAATTTAGTTGGTTGATAATAATCATTTTCGATCAATATTTTAATCACGATCTCAGTTTGATGTTTCCTTTATTATTTGATGTAACCCATTCAACGAAATTGTAACCTAATCATCAAATTGACTAATCGCATGATCTTAATCACCTTCTTGTATCCTACAATCAGTTGATTGTTTTGTAGCAATAAAATGTTGAACATGGAATGATCCGGTCAACCCTGATTATCTAAATCAACCACAACAATCAGTTAAATCCTAAAAATAAGAAAAAAGGAGAAAACTTGATAATTTAATTTAAAGGTAAATTGAACAAAGGTAAACCTTGTTACCTAAACACTACACACGAACCTAATTACTTAATTAAGGTTCTCCTCTAATTGGTCTCATTTAGACTTAATAGTTAATTAAATGATGACCAGAAAGTCAACCCACTTAATCATTATAATCATAATCACGCAATCTTCATACTCAATTATGATTAACATTTTGTTTTTCTTACTTTTTCTTTCTCACTTTTTCTACCTGTTGATTAGCTTTAAATTGAGATTATCTTTTAATCATCATGAAAACTCATTGATTGAGAGAGAAACAAGTGTAATCAATGAGATTGATTGAGAGAAACCATATTAATTTATCATCTTCATCAAGCAAATTGTAGCCTCAAGGGGTAAGGAATGACTCCCACAGGAAACCATTAAATTAACCGAAACTCAGCTGATTGGGTTGGATTGATAATCTATTAATAATCAAGATGATGATGATGATGATGATGAAAAGAAGGTGTAACTTTAATAGTTAATCAATAACAATATTCAAATAATGATGATGATGATGATGATTAGATGCACCAACAAACTGTTGATCAATTTTCGCAATTCAAACAAATTAATTGTTACTATTAATTTCTTATTCTATTTTAAAAAAGTAACAAGAATTAATAAATTACAATAAATTATGTATTATAATTATAAATACATCTAAATGTAAGTAGCATGTTGTTACTAAATGAAAACAAATTAGCATAAATTATAAAATTCCCTACTAATTGTTTACCAGAAATTATTGATTTGGTTAATATGGAATGAGAGTTAAATCAATTGTCTTTCCATTTCCCGATTTCCAATCGTTTCAACGAAAATTTTCATTTTATCATCGAAAAACAATTCTCGAACCATCGATATTCATTTGATTGGTTGGACCATCGGCTGTCAATTAAATCGTGTGTCAATAAGGAAGATGATATGAAACAATTAGTCCATTTTTGTTTACCTGGTCAATGAACAAACACTGATTAATATCAGGTAATTTTAGAGTTTGTGAGAGGGAAAGAGACAAGAAGACAAGGTGAGAACGATGATGATGATGATGATGACGATTAACTGATGATGGTGAAAAAAAATTGTTCCAAGAGGAAGAAGCCAATTATAAAGATGATGGAAGGCTAATCAGTTGATTCGATGCCTTTTCTTTTGCAAATCCAATCGAAGCCTGAAAAGCCCGAGGGCTAATCAAGTAAAGTTTAGGCTTTCATAATATTTTCTTATTGATATTTACTACAGAAAGGAAAATAGTTTAACTGATATTTTCGCTTCAAAAGTAAAACTTTCTCGAAGACAAGATTGTTAGTTGATATACGAAGACAACAACAACAACATATTAGAGATGATGTTGATTTAAGATGATGATGATAAGTTAAATATAATTGTTAGTTAATGAGAAACAGTGAGTTAGATAATTGAGTTACATTATCAAGTGAAAATCGTATTTATAACAAGAAGAGGAACCATGAAGGATTTGATAGGAAAGAAGAAGAGAAAACACTTTTACTATAAATAAATAGAAACTGAAATACATATAATAGAATTAAGAATAAGATTATAATCAGTTGATTAAATTCCCATTTAGATGAACAATTAACAGAAAAGTAAACATGTTGATTAACCAATAACAAATTAAAATAGAAAAAGAATACTAATCACTGAAAATTGTTCGAAAGAAACTTAATATCATATTATGATAGAGAACATTTAATCTGTATTCTGTTTTGTCGAATTAGAACTTTTCTAAAATTTCGAGTTCGACCAAAATTGCCATCGAATTATCAATTTTTTCGACAATATATCTCGAAAAATGGTCATAGATTTTTTCTCTCACTTCGAGTTGGGTCAATCTCCATGAATGTCGAGAACAACAAATGACCAAAATATGACCAAAATTCGTGAAACTTTTATCCAACTAAATAAAAGTTCTAAAAAGTTCTAAAGTATCTTTCCATAGTTCTTGTGGCCTGGAGCTATTCCTGATTAACCAGCAATTGTTTCCACCGCAAATTTGTTGATTGTTGGTTGAATTTCTTAAATTAGGTTATCCCTTTTGATTGTTAATTTAATTTTCTTTTTTTTTATTCCATTTCAAACCTAAATTCTATTCGTTTTATCTAAATTTGTTGATCAATTGTTTTCTTCCTTCAAGAGTAATCAAAGTGTTAAATTAAAAGAATTTCTGTTTTTTTTCTCATTTCATTCACTTGATTGGATAACCATTTTCCCGATAAAGGTAAATGGTCCTATCGATTGATTTGTATTACTCTTTTTTTTTAATTTTCTTCCTTGTTGTTATATTGTGATTAGTCTGATTGTAAAGGTCAAGATGAGATTAAGGTAAAGGGGAGAGATTCATACAATTGGATCGTTAAGTCGTGAATTATCAAGTTGATTTTAATGAGAATCCATTATCATCAGAATCCTCATCTCTCTCTCTCTCTCATCATCAACTTCATTGCTTTTTCTTACCTTTTGTTTTGTTTTTTCATATCTTTGAGTTTTCCATTGATTATCATCATCCATTCATCTCATTCTGATCTAACTGACCAGAACTTTATGAGAGAGACAATTTCAGGCTTGAGGCAAAAAGATTCCTGTAGGAAGTTAATCATTGTATCTTTTAGTTGGTGACTAAGATAATTTCACAATAGATTACTGATTATGTTGGTTAATTGTTAGGATGATGATGATTGTTTCCCATTAGATGGTGAGTTGATATTAATTTTGATTCGGTAATTATTTACTTACCTATCGTATTATTTTTGTCTTATTTCAGATACTCAGTTGTCCAATTTAATTCTCATTGCCCGGAAATCTACAATTTAACTAATGGTCTATTAACTGTTATGTTCAAATATCATTCAATTATCATCTATTATCTCATCAAGTTAATCATCATTATTGTGCTCAGTCAATCTTTCAAAATGGATTTACTTACCTGTTGATTTTAATTCACTTGCAAAAGGCTCAATGATCAAGGCAGAGAGAGAGAGAGATAATAATCAACAAAAAGAGATGGAAAATTATTAAAAGCTGATTATGATTAAATTGCTGTTAACTGAATACAATTTAATCTGATGTATCTTTCAACTCCAACTGATTAATTCACAATCTTTGACACAGTATTTCAACATGAAACCATTTAATTAACTCAAATTATCAATAACTGTTCACAATTTGTTAACATTTATTGCTGATCATTTCTCTCAATCTTAATGAATTATATAAAATTTAATTGAGAACTAATCATTTCCTGATTAAATGGTCAATAATTGGGAAGTTTAAAGATTGAAATATTGATGCTAATTAATCGTAACAATTACCTGATCTAAATTAAAGCAATTTAAAATCGTAATGATGGTCACTTGCAGAGATGAAGGAAACAACAACTCAGTTAACTGCAGATTTTGAACTGAATTAAGTTCATCTACGATCTCTTATTAAGTAATTGTAGAGATTTGATTATCTTAATTTTCCAAATCGCAATTGGAAGTATCATCAACGCCACAATCATCATCATCACCATTATCATTATCGTTAAATTTAATGTCATCATCAGAATTAATCAAATGCCCAAAAATTGTAGATTAACTTTCAGTCTTTCAAGTCCATATAAAAAAAAGGAAAGAAAAAAACATAACATGATTTAGTCATTTAATTATGTGTATCAGTTGATATTAAATGATAATTAAAAGTTACAATTACTTACATTTAGTATTGATATCGATACATTTACAATTGTTTGATCCAATTTCCAATTGAGATCAAACAAGCTAATTTAACTTCTCATTATTAACTAATTGCAAGAAAAACAAAATTGACCATAAATTGTAAATGATTGCGAGAAATGGTTATAAATGTTAATCTAATAATAATGAGATGATTAAAGGAATAGTTGATTTGTTTGGAAAACGTTGATTGTCTGAATTGATGAACAAAAATCCAGGTAAACCTGAAGAAAAGAAACAAAACAAAAACGATGATTAACAATAGATTAGATTAGAAGAAGAGATTTTCTCAGAATAATCAACAACAATTAAGAGAATAGAGAAAAAGAGTTAAACAGTTAAATCATAAATCAGTTCCTATTGTGTGTGTATTAGTTTAACTGTCTGAGAGAGTGTTAATCTAACATTACTATTGAGTTAATCATATTAATATCTTAATTGTTATGATATGAATACAATACACGAAAATTACCTAAGTGTTTGTATTAAATATAAGAGTTGGTGATTGGACTATTTATAAATTGTTATCCAATCGTTATGTTGATTTAGTTTTTTTTTTCTTTCGCCTTCATCTTGTTTGGTCTGAATTTCCTCTCACTGATTCCATCCTTGATTGTTTACTTGATTGTTGTAGTTTATTGTTCAATTTTCATCACAATCATCACTCCATTAATCATCGATAACCAAAGTATTACAATCTAAACAACAATTAAAGTAAAAAGAGAAAGCAAAGAGAAAAATAAAATTTAGTTAGTTGGGATAAATTGTGAGAAATTATAATAATAGAGGCTTGACCATTTTTCCACAATTAAATGGCAATTTAACAATTGACCGAAGGGAAAAGTGTTTCTTTTCATTGTCAAGCTAATTAAGTTAAAGGAAAAAGTTAATTAGCATGAGTATCAGTTTGCAATTAATAAGAGAAACAGGAAATCTACTGGATATAAACACAACAACAATTAAGACGATGGTCAGTAAATTAAGTATCACAACAATCTAATCAGTATCTGAGAATAATTTAGTTAACCTAATTATTGTTACTTATTGTTTGTTTTAAAAAATTAATAGCGGAAGTTGAGGTCAAGAATAGGAAAAAATAATTGATTAGCAATGGTCAATAGGTTAGTTAATTGTAATCAGAAGGACCAACAGTAAATGATAATCACAATTAATTATTATCAACATGATTATCACCAATGACCTTAAACGATGTTGCATAATTTTTTCATTTAAAATTGTAAATGATTAGAATAATTAATCGTAATCAAGTGGAAACTTGTAACAATGATTAAGAATATAAATTCACTTTTACAAAATCTAATGTATAAATCAAATTAACTTGTAATAATTAATTAAACTACTCAATGTAATTGAATGATTGTATAACTAACCCTTTATGAATGATTTGAATGGTAAACAGCAAACAAATAATTCAATATAATTACACACAATCTAAATTAACTTTGAATTAGCAGATAATTCATTTTTGTTGTATAAATATTAAATTATCAAGTAGTAATTGTTGTTGTAAATGATCAAATTAATTGTAAATCATCAATTTAAATACGTTAGCCAAGTGATGGGAACCAGAAGAAGACAATGTTCATAACCCTTTGAGTGTTTAACTTGAAACGTTACAATCAAAATCTGAAGAAATTAAGAGAGAGAGAGAGAGATGAGGTTAATTCAATTAATTAACTATTATCACGTTTTCATCAACAACAATAATTGCTACAAATACAATTAAAAGTTAAAATGAATCGTTTGTAATGATTAATCAAAAAGCGATAATAAATAGGATTTGGAGGGAAAAAAGGGTAAAGACAAGATGGCGGATAGAAAAGAATAGAATTTGTAGAAAAGAAGAAACAACAGAAATAGTAAAGTAAATTAATTAACAACCTGAGGGTAAGAAGGTAAAGAGAAAGTTAATCACAATTAACTGTAAACATAATCTTTAATCATTTACAATTAATTGTGAGATTAATTTTTCTCTTTTACCTTTAATGTACCAACAAATATTCAACACAAAGAGATGTTCAAATGGAAATAGAAAGACACACAAATAATGTGTCATTCCAATGAATTCACCCTCTTTTTTTTTAAGTTAATGACAATGTTTCTATTCTTATTGTTAGTAGTTAGTTAATTGTCTTGTCTATTGTGATGTTGATGATCAACAGAAAAAAAAACTTAACCTTACCTTGTTTACTTAAAATTTTAACTATTGATGTTGATTACATTTCATGATGATGATGATCCATTTAGTGTAACACACACACACAAGTCTAATGTCAAGTCCAAGTTTATTGTTAAATTTATACTTCGTCTCATTAAATTCACCTGAAGATCAATTTAAGTAACATTTCGTGAGGTAATTTTCAAACAATTAACAATAATCAACAAGATGATGAAGATTAATAAACAACAAATTCAAAACCATTGAGAGAAAATCAATTAACAACTAACACCAACTGGTGACAACGAAAAGAAATGAGGTCAAGTGAATAATTTGATTTCTATTAATTAAATTTTCTCTATTTAATTAACATTTAATTGGTTTTCTATTTACTCTCTTTTTTTTGATATTCTTCAATCTGATTGATTATAGTTGAGAATTTAGAAAAATTGTTCATTTCATTTAATTCTTTAATCTCGTAATTAACTGTTGATAGTTACCTTTGTGTCTTTCAAATGATCAACTGCCAATAATAAATCATTGACAGATCATCATGATTACAGTTTGATTAGATTTCCATCAAATTGATTGTGATTAATTTATTGAAAGTATTAAGTATAATAACTGTTTTCTAGATCAGTCAACTATTTAATTTTCATCTTAATCATCACGTTGATATTAATACATATCAAACAATCAATAACAAAATGACCCAGACTTATCAGAATCAAATTATCGTGTTAACATTGAATTAACCAACAACAATCAACTAAATCAAATCAACAACAACAACAACAATCATAATAATAGATCATCTAATTTATGTGAATCTTTTTTTTTTCATCACAAACAATTAAGGATAAAGAGGGAAATTTAATTATTTATATCAACTCTCTTTCTAATGAAAAACAATTTATAACAATCAACTTTTATTTTTAACAATTTGAAATTTCAATCTATTAGTTGATTGTAAGTTAATTAAGTGAACAACAAATTGACAAATCAACCAACAACACTGAGTAAACAATTAATATGTATTCAGAAATCAATCCAATCTGAAAGTTAATCATGAAAATTGTGATGATTTGATATTTTAATCATATTCTTAATACTTACAATTAGTAAATTGTTTGCATGGTTGTTGATTATTAGGTGTAACTAAAACCAATCCTTTTAACAGTTTCGTTTTTTTTAACTAATTGCTCATTTTAAATTGTGAAAATTTAATCACTATTTTTAACAATTAGTGTATTTTAAACGTCAGAAAAAGTGAATTAACTTGTTGTGTATTTAGTTAATTGTTAAACTTTAAATTGTTCAAAAAAAACTGAAAACATATCAAAAGTAAAAGTATTGAGAACCATTTTCACAATTAGTTAATTGTTACACTAATTTTTTGTTTTGTATAACCTCAAGCATAATAGATAATAACAATAATTATATCAAGAAACATTTAATTGCTACTATTTGATAGCAATCAATTTGACAACAATCAAGGATGTGAAAGGTCAATTAATTAATTGCCGAACCCTTTTGCTTTTTATTAAACTAAATCAATGAAAAAATTGTTAATTGTTAACTGATCATTTTGATGATTCTGTTAAATTAATAAAACAAAACTTTAATCTTAATTATTGTCATTTTATTTAATTGTGACAGTTTAAAATTAAAACTATCACTTATGATGACCTTCAATTGAAATCAATCATTCAACAATTAACCTTAATTTTCAAAGCAATTAAAATTAGTCTGGCAAATTAAAAATGATTACGGATGTTGATTGATATCATTTTACCAAATCACAGAGCAATTAATTACTGGATAATTAATTAATTATCACCTATTTTCTTAATCAAGGTTACCACACACAATTAAATCTAATTGTTTCATAAATTTCTGTTGTTAATCATTACAATTAAATCTCAGGTCAAAAGGAAAAGGGAAAGTTTTGATTAAAGCGAATCATTTTCTCATATAATAATTAGTTAATTCAATTAATTAAAATTGTACAGGGAAAAAAATCTGTTGAATTTTGTTAATCACTGACAATCAATTGATCTGATAATTAATTCAGTTCATTTGGATCTTATTCCAGAATCGAAAAATTATCCAATGATGAATTCGAAACTCGAAAAAAAGTTCAAGTCTCTCTTTTATGCTTCGGGCCTTTTGGGAACACGGAACAAGTATCAGCGCATTTCCAACACGGGTCACAATCGGCTTTAGATTTACATGGACAAACTTACGATCGCCGTGCTTGGCCTTAGTAGTATAACACCATTCTCTGATCACCTTAAGGTCAAACCCGACACAATCGCTCCAACAATGGCCTTCATAACACCCCCACTCAGGGCCACATCCCGGAGCGGGTTTATTATCATTCTGTTCATCATTTGAAGTTGAATTTTTTTTCATTCCATAAACAACAATTACGGATAATAATGAAGTACAAACGACAATTAATAAAATCCATTGACTCATTTTCGAGTGAGACAACATAATTATCAACTGTTCACTTTAATTCTGTAATTAATAATAATCTAATTAACTGTTAGCACCAATCTACTAATGAAAAATGCTGAACAAGAACTAAATTAAACCATATTGATTAAAAAAACTTCACAAACCAATCAAAGTAATAATATATAAATCATATTTTCAATCAACTGGTGGTAATAATTAAGTTAACCACATTCGATGATGACAAATGTCCAGATAGTAAATTAATCAAATCAAGCTGAGTTAATCAAATTTAAATTGTGTCAAAGTTAATTGAGAATATTTAAGTTAATAGTCTGTATGATTAGTAATTGTTGATATTTAGTTTACATTAAATTGTTCGTAGTTCGTTATTAAAACTAATTGGCTATTAGAAAATGATTACTGATTAGTGACTAGAACTTGGAGTTGCCTGATTATCCTCAATTCCAAAGATAATTCATCATGATACCGATAAAATTGACACAAGAATCAACAATCAATTTAGAGATCTAAAAGTGACTAACAATTAAGAGCTAAAATCTATGATTAACTGTCCACAATCAAATATATTATGTACCGAATTCAATTAAGTACAAGTTCAATATTCACTGTTATTGAATTACCATTGATTGGGAATCCATTTCTTTATTAATACCTTATGATTAATTTAATACTTTTGTTGATAATTAATGACGATGATTAAAATAAACATGATTAGTGAACATAATGATTTTTATGTCATGTTAGGAATCAATAAATTACAGAGCAGAAATTGAATTAAAACATATTGGACAATTTAGTGTGCAAATTTCGTTGAAATCGTAGCGTTTGAAATTGTGATTTACTGAGAATCGAAATGAATTGAGAAGGAAAATAAAAAAGATCAGATCAATCAGCGGGAGTAACTTTCTCGGTCGAATTTGGTTTCTTCGGTAGATGCCAATCTTTTCGGAATATCGAACATGTTCCAGCACATTTCCAACATGTCGAACATGTAGTTCGAAAGTTTTCAACTGTACACGGAACATACTTGAAATCGAGCGTATGACCTTTCGTTGTATAACACCATTCGCCGAGTCCAAGGCCTATTATTTTACACGCGCTCCAACAAAAGCCATCCTTACAGCCCCATTCGCGGCCATTGGTTTCACAGTTTTCATTGGGTGGATTACCTTCATTTCCGGTAACAATTAACTGAAATGAAGACATTACAATAACAATTAACAATAGATTCATGATCAATTTTGTTTTTCCAAATGAAATTAAAAGTTAGCTTGTTAACAGCAACAATTAAATGATCGTTGATGGATCAATTCAACTCTTAAATACTATGAAAACACATTGGTAACTTTACAATTTAATCATCAATGAATAATTAATTAACCAATTCGATTGATTCGTGTTCGTATTGTATTACATGTTAGAACAATTCTGGACCTTTTCGTTGGTTCGAGTTTGATTTGTTGACGATTAAGTCCAATGTCCGTTGAATATATTAAGCGATTGTTGTTGGAAGAGCAAAAATTATCATTCGAATTGTGAATTGAACATTTGTCGAATTGGTGTTCGATTGAAAAAGTTCAGGATGAATTTCTTCAGAACGATTTTCCAACAGAATTTTGATCTTATTAATTGTCCAAATGGTTTCTCATTACTAATTGTTGACAATCATGAGAAACTAATTAACGAAAAATCTTGTTAATCAAAGTTTCTTAACGGTTGATAAATAATTGCTATTGTAATAATTAACAAACTGAATCATTGAGATTTCTCATGACAATTAATCTTAACAATTAACTTTCAATTTCTCTTAATATTTTATTATTATTATTATTAACTATCAGTTGATTGTAATAAACAACAAGTTAATTACTATGATTAAACTATCAGAAAGTTAATCATCGTTACAACCAAACCTCAATCTCCTTAAAGAAAACAAAAAAGTTAATTTAGTTTCCTCTTTAAATTGTTGATCTTTAATATAAATTATTTATATTTAAGGTCAACAATTAATATGTAAAGGAAAAATAGTAGATGTATTTTAATTGTTACCTGTAAAAAAAAATACATTACTGTTAAAATGATTAATTGTAAATCAAATTTATCAACAACAAGGATCAAAAGTTTTTACAACAAAAATAAACACAAATTAATGATCGCGATTAACCAAATCAACGATTAGCATCAACAACAACAATTAAAACTAATCATTTGTCTTAGTTGTCATTTGACCAGCCAATTGAAACCTTGATTTAGACAATTAAACAAATTGTAATGATTGGTAAAAATTGTGATGCAGTTAATTGACTAATCATGATGATGATTATACAATCACAATTAACCATCACATAAGGATCACAACATCAACAAGATCAACAATTAGGTCAACAAGGATGAGGATGCTAAGGATGTTAATCAGGTCAAGTATATAACCCGGTCCTGGTCGTTAAGGTCAACGGTAAATATTATCAACATCATCTCTAACTACAACAATTAACTTATTATTATGATTAGCAATTCATGGTTCAATGATAAATGAAATTAGTGGAAAGCGTGATAATCAAGGTTTACGATTCCGTTTCCATTATGAAAATTTTATTCTCTCTCACGTTTACCTGTCTATCTAAACCAATTCACCGATTTCTGTTATTTTTACAATTGAATATTTTTAATTGTTAACAATTTATTTTCTAATTAAAAACAAAAAGCGTAATTAAATCAGAGAGAGAGAAACAAAATTAATCTCCAACAATTACAATTCTAAACTATGAGATGACCCCTTTGGAATTTTTTTCCAATTTTTTTTATTTTGTCTTCGATTTGATTTTTGTTTTGTTTTTCTTTAATTAAATTGTGACAATCAAAATTAACATGATAATAAGTTAATTGTTGAAGATTTTTAATTGGATTTGTTTGTTTTTTGTTCTCTCTCTTTCTTTTTGTCACCTCTTTTTTTCATCCCTTGTTGTTTCATCTTCATTGCGCCTCCATGTTTACCTTGATTGTTGAGTTTCTTTTATTATTAATTTGATTGTGTTGATCTTTCTATTGGTGGTGATGGTTTTTAATTGTTGTTAATCTTAATCCTCTTCTATTCCTTGTCCTTGGGTATGTAAATTATTCATCATTTGAAACAATCTAATCTCTTTTTTTCTGTTCTCTTTCTTATATTAGTGCTTTTGGTCATCATTGTTTTGTTTATTAACCTGTTGTGATTTTTGGCTCTCTCGCGATTCACTGGATTGGGTTGGTTACCTAAAGAAAACCAGATTATCATCCTGGTATCTTTACACCATTAATTGTGTAATTTGTGACTAATCAATTTGATTAATTGTAACCAGATTTTTGTGATTTTCTTCTCTTTTCTATTACAGGTTTTAGCTTATTTTCTACGGATTCTTGCTCACTAACGGTTCCTCTCTTTCTCTCTTTTACCAATTGGATTTAATTTTCTTCATTTTGTTCTCTTCTCTCCTTATATTCCAATTCTCCATCATCTTCATCTTCCTTCACCTTCTACACTTCATCCGGTTTGGTTACATTCCCCAGATAAAAAAACTGAAGCTCCGGGTTATGAATTTACATTATCCATCATTATCTATATCTCGATATCCATAAAAACAAACGGATAGATTGATAATCTTTTACTCTTCTTACCTGATGATCAAAATTGGTTATGGATCTTAATTGTTTATTTTTAGTACAAAAAAATTACAAACCACAAATCTAAAGGTATCTTTCAGTTAATCATCATAATCCTAATTGTTTACCCTCTAACTTGTTGATTAATTCAAAACAATTAACCAACTAACCAAGTTGAATAAGACAGTGAAACAAACCAACTATTAATATAAAATTAATTCTAACCAAGGTTGACACAGAAAATGTTTCTTACTAAATTAACATTTAAATAGTGACGATGATGATGATTAACAATTGAATAAGAAATTAGATAATTGTTTTCTTTTCTTTTCTTTCACAGAACAATTAAATTATCCCTCTAGAATATTTAACCAATTTAATCAAGATCAAGGTTAATCAAAGGTAAGAAAATGGATAACATCAATTGTCACCCTAATTTCAAAATAGCAAATTAATTTGTTTCCAAATTTACAACAATCGATTGTAAATCTTTGGTAAATTGTTAATTGTAAATAATTTAACAGAAACTTGTTATAATTGTTTTAGAGGAAGAAAAAAGTTTTCTTTTTATTATTCATCATGAAAATAAGAAGAGAAAAAGTTTTGCAACAATAACATTGAATCAATTTTTCTTCTTCTATCATTCAACTGTGAATTTTCAATCTTCTTATTACAATTATTGTAATAATAATCAGAATTTAAATTTTTTATTAATTTTCTGATGTTCCATTAACCTTTTAACACTGAAAGAATTTTTTTTTATTAAGATAATCAACAAGATTCTCTTGATATAATATCATCATTATTCAGCTTTTCACCAGAATCAGAGAAATCATCAGAATCATTATTATTGTATCAATTAAGATATTAAGGTAAATATTAAGAAAGTTTTGATGATAAAATTAAGAAGATTATCATTTGTGATTTATATTTAAGAAGAAAAAAATGAAGTGATTTAAGTAATTGTAATGAAAATGGTTTGATAAACACACGTTAAAATGTTATTGGAATCACTTTGAGACTAGGGTAACATTGTAACGTTACACTAATCACACACAATTAAAGTCACAATTTGAATCATTATTGTTCCCAATCTTATAATGATGATGTTTGATGATTTAAAGTCTAATTTAAAATGAACATTTACAATTAGTAAGAAATTGGGCTACGTTGATAATTAGCTAATGGTTGAATTCTGATGAAATCACGAGCTGTTGTTGGTTTTAATCGAGCACAAGGATTAGTTATATTAATTATATTGTTATTAATACCATTCGAAGTTGATTTGATTAAACTTTCACTGTGATGATTAGTTGATTGTCGACGATAATGATTAATATCGTTTGATGGTAAATTTTTAGATTGTCCATTATTATTATTGTTATTATTTTGACTTGTTACTATTTGATCAGGAAAATAATAACGAGGTGGATCAGCTTTGCCTTTATTGTTGTTGTTGTTGTTATTGTGATTACTAGAATTGATTGTTACCGGTAATGATGTTAATTTAGTTGATTCCTTCATCATCATTGATGATAATGATGATGATACTGGTGGTGGTGGTGTTGATGTTGAATGTGGGGTAACCCCGGTAACTACTGGTCTAAGGTCATTTTTAACTTTTCTTAGGTCAGTTTTGATTGGTGTTGTAATTATTGTGGTTTTGGGTATTACTGGGGGTGGAATTGAGACTCGATTGGTTGTTGATGATGGTGATGATGAAGATAATGATGAAGATGACGATGATTGTTGTTGATGATGGCTATTGATTAATCGATTTGATTCCAATTTTTCAACTGTCTTCAGATTGTTTATATTATTATTATTATTATTATTGTTGTTGTTGTTGTTGTGACTATGATTATGATGGTGAATCAGTTGATTTTTACTATTATTAGAATGTGTTTTAATCATAATTATCTTATTTTGATTACTATTATTTGATGTTATTTTGGTTGATGTTGTTGTTAATTTTGGTCTTGATAGTCCAGAGGATGTTGCACTTCCTGATGATGAAGGTCCACCACTTTCAATTGGTGACCAATTACGTTCAGAATCATCTGATGAAATGTCACCATGATATTTAGCTGCTGTTGTCATAATTATACCACCAACTTTGGTGTTAGTGGTGTTGTTGGTGGTGGGTGATTTAAGTTTAATCAATCCCTTACCATTGTTAAAGGGTGAGGTTGATGTTGATGATAATTGATCAGGTTCATCTGAACCTATTCCACTTGATGATTTACAACTAGACTCAGATCGGAGACAATGGTTAGGGAGATTGTGATGATGATGATGATTGTGATGATTAGAGGTTGAATTGGTTGTTGGAGAAGATAAATTGACCATTGACCTTTTAAGTACTGATGGTGATGAATTGGAGGATGAGGTTGACAGGGATGATGTTGGTCCACCAACAATTAGTCCATTTTTCTTGTCACTTTTAACTAATCCATTTATATGTTTAGGTGATGAAGATGAGGTTGAAGTTGATGTTGATGATATTGTTTCCAATGGACCAATAATTGATAAATTGGTACTTTTTCGAGCTTCAATTCCAGTTAATTTACCTTGTTTACGACTAATTGTATCATAATCTTTAGGTGGTAATAAAATGGGTCCACTTTTTGGATTTGATAATTTAGCTTTTAATTCAGCGGCTAAAGATTCATAAAGAATAGCAACTTTGGGATTACCAAGAGTTAATTCAATTGGTAATGATTTACCCTCTTTCGAACCACAATTAACGGAATCATAAGAATCTTCGGTTCGATCTGATGATTCTGTTCGAGTTGAACGACTCTCAGATGAACAACGTTTACCAAGTGGATTAAATTTACGATTTAAATCAATGGATGTTTCTTGTTGTTTAATCTGTTGAAGATTTTGAAGTTGATGAGGATGAGGATGAAATTGATGTTGTTGATTAACAGTTAATCCTTTTGATACAAGACGTGATTCAATCTCTCGAAATTTACGTTGATTCTCTGGTTTCTCAATTAGCAATTGTAATTGTCCACGAAGAGACGAAGCCGTTTCGATTGAATCACATCGATAAGCGTGAACATGAACTGGACATTTGGTAATCGGATTGTAGATCAATAAAATACAAGCAACCAAATCCTCCTCTTGGACAACACAGGTAATCGCATTGTGAGGTATAAGGTGTTTAATTTGTTCAGTTTTACCTGAAGATCCACCAGTGGTTGTAGATGATGAGGTTGATGATGAAGAAGATGATGATAATAAACTTAATTTAGCAGATGAAGATGAGGAAGAAGATGATTTTTTTGGCACATTTTGTATTATTTTCAATCCTTTGTTGCTAACTTGAAGGGTTACCTTTGATACCTCTGAAAGTCCTTCTTGGTCAATTAAATAACGAAGAACAGGTAAAATAAATTCATCACCACGTAGACCTTCAGCTTCTTTAGCTCCAAGAAACCAAACATAATAAGAAGATTTTTTAATATCTTTCCGTCTGAAAGCCATTTAATTTAATTTATTTTCTCTCTACTCTTGACCACCAAAAGAAAAACAATTTCTTTTTAATCACTTGGAAAGAAAAGAACAGAAAACAAAAGAGGAGAGAAAAGAGAAAAACAAATAACAGAAAGAAAAAAAGATTCGATAAAAAGAATCAATTATAATCCAATATGGAGGATGAAGAATAGAAAAACACTGAGGAGAAAAGAATAGAAAAAAAAAATGAATTGATTTCTTTTTCTTTGTCAGGTAAATGATGTGATTGATAAGTTACAATTATGACAATAATATGTCACTAATTTTGACCTATTGGTGTCTCTTTTTCACGGATAATGATGATGGTAATGATGACGGGAATTATTTAGATTGTTGTTAATGATAAAATTTATTATCTCCATCAATATTATTGGTTTGGATGATGATGAGAAACACAAACACAACGTGAAGGTAAAAAAAACATGTAATTGAGATTATGTTATAAATATTTTAGTCTATTGATGATGATGATGATGATTGGTAACTAAATGTTTACCTGTTGATTGTTGACTGTTTACTGATTGTAGTTTGTTTGATATTCTGCAAGTTGGAAATGTTTAAATTTTACTCACCAACACGATGCACTTTCAACTGAGAGAATAAAATAAAAACACCAACACTAAACAACCTTAAGAGTTGAAATGATTTCGCTCACTCATTTCTCTCTCTTTCTCTCTCACTATTTTCATTAAATTCTCACTTCTTACCTGACCGGTTCCTCCTTCTTTCTCTTATTTATCATCATCCTTTTGCTTCATCATCATCACCATTGATCAATAGAATAGAATATTAAAAAAGAAATTATTCCACAATCATAATTATAATTGAACAAAGAGAAATAAATAAATAATAACAAACGAAAACAAAACAATCGAATTTACATTTTTCCCTCCAAATGGAAAAAGATATTTGATCCATAGAAATATCGATTCTTTTGTATCGATATTTTTGTAAAATTCTTTTTCATTTTAATTGAAACGCTTTTCTTAATTTCTTTTATTTTACTTTTTTTATAATTAGTTAATTAGGGAGAATTTGGTGTCAATTTTAATTCTCTCTTTGATCATTGTGTGAAATCTAAATTAATTACCTTATTCCGATTTCTCTTCTCTTTCTGTTTTGGAAACATGATATCGTTTGTGTGTCAATTTTGATTCTGGTTGAAGAGAATTTTTTTCTTCTCTTTTCTGATAAATTGTTACTGTTGTTCAATCAAAGTCTTTAATTTATTTTGATTATTGGTGATGATAACAAAAAAGGAGTAAGTGGAAACAAATCAACGCTTAATTTTTTTGTTGGTTGGATTTGATTTCCGTTTAGTTTGTTTCGTCTGGTTTAATCAAAAAGTCTCACAATTCAACCAAGGCGATCGATTTGCCTTCTTCTTTTCATCGGATTTGAGAACAAGAGCATAAAAAGAATAAGAAATTAAATCTTATCTGGTTTCTTTTTTATTATTATTCTTCACTTTGAATGATCTCTCAATTGATTTTACAGATTCTAATCTAATCTCCATCTTTATCCTCTCTATCATCACCTTATTGTAATTTAATATGTGATTTGGTTTTCATCATTAAATGGATGGAAAAATGGTTTCTCGATCTGTTCAGGAGATGAAAATGTATCAACATGGAAGAGATGAAGACCAAAGAGAAAACAACAAGGTAATTAACTTGAAGTTGACTAATTAAATTTTAGCAAATCATATTGAAACTAATATGTTTTTATTTCTTATCCAATTAACAATTACTTTTGATTGTGGTTGAGCAGATCTTTCAGATACTTTTACTCATTAACTTCATCCAGTATTATGGTTTTATGGTTATGAAAAGTTAATTAGACGATAATTTTTCTCTACAGAAGATGTTGAAAAAATTTAAATGATTAATTAAATTTCATTGATTGTTTCAGGTCACCAAGACAAAAAAAATCCTCTCATGGTCGTTTGGATGAAGGAAGAGAATGATAAATATTCCTGAAGATGGATAAGAACTCCAACAACGTTGAAGAAGTAAAAAAACCAAGTGACCAAATCAACGTTGACCCAAACCAGAAAAAAACAGATGATTAAGAATTCATGTTTACCTGAGAGAGAGAGGAAAAAAATCAAACTGATGGAAATGATATAAACATTTTCCCAATGTTTACCAAATATCTTTTTTTTTATATGTGGTCGCCTTCACGAGAGATGAAAATAGTCACAGTACAATGATACTTCCGGTTAATTCTGATAACTCACTTTAAATCATGATAATCATCATTTCCTAAAAACAATCAACAGGTTCACACTATTTGGCAACAATTAGGAAATGGAATTGAGAGAAAAACAAGGATCGTAATTAACTTTGGAAATTTCACTTTTTTGGATTACCTGATAATTTTTCAATTCCTCTCAAGTCCAACTTAAACCCGAAGGAGAAAAAGATTTGTAATGATTAGTAAACAATCAAAGCTCAACAACAAACAATCAATTAATCAAGTTGAATAAACAATTGATCAAACGATTGATTGTACTTGTGAGAGATTAATTCACTTTCGTTTGGCTTAAATTAAAGGTCTAACAATTAGTGATAATAAACAAATTGGAAGGCTGTTCTTGTATCATGGTGATTAAGAATCAAATTTAATCTGTAACATTTAACCATGGACGACACCCTCCCAAAAATTAACGATTGATTAATTGATTGTTTGTATGTTAATCGTAATTGATCAAATTTCCTTGAATTATTTACGATTATTGATGAAAAAAAATCATCTTTAATCATCAAGGTTTCCCAATCAACTTTTAAACTAATTTGCTGAGTCAGATTTAAGAATTAATTTTGTTACCATCAACATCTAAATATTTGTAATTGTGCTCTGTCATTTCAAGGGTTTCCAATTATTATTCAATTAACAATTACATGATCAGTAATCTCTCAACCAATTAAATCAACAACCTCCACAACAATTGGAATGAGATATTTGATTAACACAACGAATCATCAAATAATTGTCATTGATTGTGAATGATTAACTACTAGTACATATAAGGTATGTATGGAAGGTTATAAAATGATTAGTTAAATTGATTTAAGAAAATTTAATTAATCAACTTTAATTGTTGACAAATGAAATTAACTTATCGTTAACATGTTGACTTGCTAATGGTAAAGATTTATTTTTGTCTTGATTAAATTAAATTAATGATCATTTGGCAACTAATTATGTTGATCCGAATAATTAACCTTTTAATTGTGATTGTGTCTGGCCAAGTGATTGATTCTAAACAATTAACCATGTAAATCAACAATTAGACAATTTTAATCATTTGCCAAGATTTAATCCTCCGAGACAATTGTTGTAAAACTTACTGATTGTCCAATGGTTGATTTTGGTGATTGACGAAATCAATTAATTGCTCAATCCTTGATTCCGTATCAACAATTTAAAAAAGTTACAATTAAACTTTATGGACAGTTAATCATTTCCTTGTACTTAAGTTTAGTTTTCTTGATTATCTTAATGATTGTTTAACAATTTGTTAATTCATTATAAATAGTAACAGATTATGTCCAACTGTTAACTTTTAATTTCCTTAATTTTGATTAATGTCATCAAATTAATTAACGATTGAAAAAGTTATATAATAATTTAACTTTCATATTTTGTTATTAACCACAAATGAAAATTAATCTGTTGTTTTTAATTAAAAAGTAATAAAAAATTTGATTTAAACTTTTCATTCAATTGTCACAATTGAGTTAATTATGATCAGGAAATCAATTATTATTAACCAGATTAACATATTGTAACCATCAACAATCAGTGTTAATCTTGATTAGCACAAACTTACATTTAAATCAGTGGTGTTAATGGTTAACATATAAACACCCAACCCAAAGATTGACAACAATTAAAAGTAACGATTAACAAAATATTGATTAATCGATGAGCCGAAATTAATTAAAATTAAGATTAGTCCCTTTTCACTTCAATTATTAGAAGACCGGTTAATGGCAATAATTAAATTCAATTTTTCCTTAATTGTAATTAGATAATCAAACATTACCTTATGGTAATTGTTGAATGAATTTAATTCTCGCTTCATCAGTTGAATATATTCAATTACACTGGAATCAATATCGATATAATTAACTGATTTTCTTTGAAATAATATTACAATAAATAGAAAGTCTAATCGAAACGTTGAACAATAATCATATGAGAATTGCTTACAAAATTAACTAATAGTTTCGTTTTAATTTGGTCAACTTTGTTAACGAATCAATTGATCAACGGTCACTATGAATTTCCTATTGACTCTAACTTGGTGTTTTCTTGGTGTTTCTTATGTGCTGACCTTTTCTCCACTCGATTTATCAGCTGAGTCTTACATCGTTACTAAAGCGGTTGAGATCGCGGTCAAACATCGTAACTCAATGACCGATAATCCAATGTACATGGCATGTCAGTCGATTCTCAGTGTTCGGAAACTATCGGTCACTTCAGAAGATATCAACTACGAGGTCACTTTTAATATCGCTATGACCGATTGTACAAAACTGGATCCTCATTACTCTTGTAGGATTCTTCTTGGTGTAAGTTGAACATTTTTTTGTTGATTTCGATTTTTTCTCTCTTTCAATTAATCTGATTGATAATTGCAACAATTAATCAATAGGCGGAATCCGAGAAGTGTACCTATGTTTTCAATCAGAAAATGCTCAAGGACACACCGAAAATTACCAATTGGCAGTGCGGAGGTCAAAATTAACGGACACGATTAACGACCAACAAAAGTAAAGGGTTAGGTTAATCATTTGGAGAAAAGATTATTGTAAGTGTTTAATTACAGTGATTAACACCTTTGATTATAATAAAATGGTTAATTGTACTTACCTTAATCATGTAATTGCATAAATAAAAATAACTTGATTGTGATTCGTTTACAGTTAAGATCACAATCAAATTACAATCGTTACTGAAACAAAATTAACAATCAAGTTCAATGATTAAGCAAATAAACTGATCTTTATTGTCATTGATTATTATTTAGTTTCTTTCAGTTTAATTGTAACTTAATTAATATCTTTCATTGATTGGGTTTACTGAGCAAAGTTAATTGTTATCAACTAATGTATATTTATAACTGGATCAACTAATTGTTAATATTGATCATCAATCATTTTAAGATCAAAAACCTTAATGCTTTTCAGGTGAAGTGAAAGTGTTTCACTAATAACAATTAACCGAGAAGGTGAATAAACAATTAGTTAATTATTAGGATTATTAAATATTCAGATGATTAAACATTCAGTTATCAACAGTTAACAAGAAGAAAAATTAGTTAATTGTTTTGAGTTATTAGTTATAAATTTAAATTGTTATTCAACTTAAAAGAAAAAGAAAATGAAAAGTTTTTTTATTAATCAACAGGAAATTAATTGTGAGTTAATTGTTGAAAACAAAATTTAGATTGGACAAATTATCAACCTAACCAATTGTAATTGTAATTGTAATTGTATTGCTTGTAAATCGTGATTTTAAATTGTTTACAATCAATAATCAACTATTGTATTAAGTATATTAATAGTTACCATGAAATAAGTAAATGATTTGATAAATAATTCACTAATCAACAATTTACTAAATCATCATCATCATCTTGATTAACTTGAATAGATGAAAGTTTGTAATAGATAATCAATGAATCAATTACAATCAAAACTGAATCAGAATGTTAATTGTTTGGATAATGAAGACAAAAAAAATGATTTGTTGAAAAAATCATCTTAATCATGATAAACTTTGGTTCGTGATTTTAAAAGCGTTTAAATTGTTTCAATTGTAGATTCACTTTCATTGATTGTTAAATTGTTGTTGACTGATTTAGGTTAACACGGATAATGATCAAGATATTATGTTGATTAAAGATGAACCATAGATGATGATTAAGTGTTGATATTATTGATTAATATTTATTTCTAATTGTAAACCAAATCAAATCAATTTGATAGAAAAAATTTAACGTCAATTAGACTTTCCGTTTCTACTTTTTGTTAACAATTAAAGAATAAAATTGAAAGTTATCCCAAATTAGACGAATAAGAATAGTTTTATTCCTGATCATTTCCAGCGATAAGAATCACAATTGGTTTTAAATTCATGAAAAAAAACAAGAACTCGTGTTTATTGAAAATTTAAAATTTTTAATTATTTAACTCAAGCATTTATCTTAGTTGCTTTCGAAATCCAAATTTCTTCTTTCTCGCTATCAAAAACTAGTGAAATTGGGAAAATATTATAAAATTATCTAACTAGACTATTCTCAACAAAATTATTGAATAACAGCGCAGTTTTGATTAGTTTTGTTTCGAAAGTAATAAAGTCGTGGTAAAGTTAATTTAGTTATTCAGGTCATCGGTAAAATAACACGTTTCAAGGTCATCTGAAGGTGATTTAACTAGAAAAAATATTCAGAGATACTACTGACAAGTTTTGAGGTTTCTATGAGTTTTGAGATTTTCAACAGTTATTCAATTAAACTGTAATATCTCAGAATCTGTGACAACAATGATCTCTAAATTCATTTGACAGAGTTAAAAAATGTTGAGAATACCTGTATCACCTTCATAAGGCATTGAAACGTGGTTTTTTACCGATGACCTGAATGACCTTGATGTTTTGATATAACAATTGAGTATCACCCAAACTCATACCACTTAAGTCTCGTGTCTCTTTGACTCTCATTTGCTGAGAAAATCGTAAAAAACGTTGGTAAAAATAGCTGAATACCCCTGTAGTGTTCACGAAAAAAATTGAAGATTGATGATGTGATAACTGATGAACAAGTGCGTTTTTTTAAAGATGTGTACCTCCGACTCAATAACAGTCCAGTTGACTGGGAATGTTTACGAACTCAAATTAGAGATACTGAAACCGAATTTGGTTATTGGTGGTCATATGAAAAAGTATTTCTGGCCTAAAACGCTTACTGTTTTGCAATTGAACAAGTTTGCCGAGATCGCGACATTAATATATATATCGGTTTTGCACTGTATGTGGACAGAGAGATATAAAAAATTTCCGTGAAGAATTTGAAAATCCAGTACCTTCGAGTTCCTAGAATGCTGAAAATCGAGATCCTACTGACAATTAAGTGCGGAAATACGGACGTGAAAATGCAAGGAGGTTGATGTCGTGGAGACAGATCTTCAGGTTTCTTATGGTTTAATTAACAATTGTAAATAAACTTATCGAATATTAACTTTATCATTTTCTCAACTTGTTAACATTATTTTCTTGTCATCACCAAAGAACAAGTCACTTTCAACTCTTCCTTAATCATCAATCTTGAAATCATCTTCTTCCTTTAAAAAGTTGTTTTCACTAATTAAGATATTTACATTTACTTTTAAATTGACCACAATTAACTGAAGATTGTAACAATTAAACCCTTCCTGTTGATTCTCAATCTTTTCACTAATTGTGATCAATTAACTTATAATCAGTTAATACTTCAAGTTAGTTCAGTTCAGTAGTAGCTTAAAACTCAAAAACATGAAATTCCGACATGGTGAATTCATTTCTTTTCCTATTCATTTCACTCTGGATTCATTTATCTATTGGTCAATGCTGAGAGATTTTTGAATTACTGGTTCTTGTTGATACTTTCCAAATTTGGAATCATTGATGAAGATCATCCGTTTTGTTTTTTTGGTCATTTTCTTAACATGGTCAGTCTGATCTTGCGAAATACTTTCTCATTTACATTTTGATACCTCTTTTTTTTCTTATTATCTCTATCATCATCTTCCTTTCATCCCAATATCTTCAAAAGATCAACAACATCCAAATGCACCTCATCTTTAATCCGCATCAAATTAACCTGACGAAATCCGGGTTTATACCTTAACAAGAATCACCAATTTCAGGCCAAACTTTGGCTAATTTTTTTTATATGATTATCATCTTCATCTTCATCATTTATCCTTATTAAAAGTACAGGTATGTAAATCACTTTATGAATGATATAGTTGATTTGGTAAACAATCAAATTAAATCAGTAAAAATAATTACATTTCATGTAAGTGAAAAGCTCAACATCCTGTAATCAATTGAAGGCAATTTGGTTTCTTATTGTGAATGTAAATATTATTATTACAACAATTAACTAATGATATTTACATGGTTATTATCAACTTGTATTACCCAGTTAATTGTTTGCAATTTACATTTGTAGTTATATGAACCAAATTTTTAACCATTCAACCTTTCAAACAATTTAAATTAAACATCAAAATACTTGAAGATTAAGTGTTTTAATATAATTATTATCAAAAGGGATTAAGGTTGATTGTTATTAACAAAGGAGAAGAAAAAAAAATTATTATTAAGTGTTAGTAATCAACTTAATCAACCTAAACATTTAATTATGATTAGAATCCAATTGATGATCTAAATTGAATTGATTTATTTTCAATTATTACATTTATGTTAACACACTCACAATCATTTAATTGTTATCATCAGAATATCTGTTTTATTAAGATTGATTAAAGATTTAAATTATAATGATAATCTTGATGATAGGATAATTTGAGATTTGATTGTCTTGTGTTAAATCATTTAACTAATATGTTCAATGATTTTGATTCCAATCAGGTCAAGATTGTGAAGTGATCATAATGTTAACCAACAACAATCAGCAATCAACATAACGGGTTAGTGATTAACGATCAACATTTTTAATCTATCACCTTTATATTACTTGATTGCTGTTATTTTAAAGGTGAGGTTATTGTTAATCTCAATAATATAATGATGATGATAAAAATTGCTTCTCAAATGTAATTTAAATATCAACAATCAACAACAATTTACTGAACCATAAACGCGAGAAAAAATACAACAGATTCAAAGTTAATTATCTTTGATATGATTTATAAATATTGTTGGTAATTCCAATTGATTAACTATCGTTGATTGTGATTAACAATCAAAATGAATATATATTCATTTATATGTACGGATAAGAAATGGTTAATATTACCCTTTAAAATGTGCAATTTAAATAATTAACAATCAAGGTAATCAAATGTTAATCAGTCTCACTTTCATGTTCAATTGTAACTGTTTGACAGTTTTAAATTTGGTTGATTGTTGAGAAACATTTTGATTAACATTTGAATAGTGATGCTATTTTATTACTATTTAGTTGATTATAATTAATTAACTCAATCACATACTATATTATTTCATAATGACAATCAAGCAAAGAATCAATTATTACCACAATCAAATTAAATTTCTTATGATTTTCGGGAAAAAAATTTTCATATGCCAATGACTTTTACTTTTCAATTTTTTTGATTGTTACTTGTTGAATGGGTTGATTGTCAACAATTAACAATGGTAATCCTTTTATAACCATTTTGATTATCATGATTAACATGGTCTACAATTTATATCTACAATCTAATTGATAGGTTGGTTTCCATTTCTATGGATTCCCTTTGATTACCTTATTGATTGTGAATCTTTTTAAATTGTTGCTAAATTATTACTATCGTTGTAATCGTAATCGTAACAACAACAACAAAAAATATCAACTCACGATTTCTTGATTGTTACAATTGATATACTGTGAGGATGATGATGATAGTAAGTAGTTTTTAATTTCATGGTCTGTATCTGATTGTGATTGTTAATCAATGGAATCCAATTGAATCAAAAATCTGAGAAAAAAAAATCTCAACTTTCACTGGTATCACAAGTTAATCACTAATCTGATTAAACGTCTTGATTATCAACAATTAGTTCTGATTGTTGAAAAATTCTCACAACAATTTATCAACAATTTCATCAATCAGTTCACAATTAGTTCAGTTAATTGTAATTATTTTTGATTCTAAAATATCAACTTGACCATCAAAAGTAAAATAAAAAAAATCATCTTCCCAATTTGAAGTTTTTTTTTGCTCTTCATTTACTGTTAATTGTTGAGATATTATTTACTAATTGCTTGAT